CCGACCACACTGACTAAGGCCGCCCTCCCACTCATTGTCTGTCACATGCTTTATTTTCTACAAGGCATGTGTGACTCTCTGAAATCATCTTGTCGGTTTAATTGTTGCTCCTTTGGGACCTACCCAAGTCCCCTCACCTCCAACATCCGTGGGTCAGAGGCTGTATGCCCCATGCCTAGCACAGTGCCTGGTACACACACACAGCAGGCATTTAATAAATACTTAGTGGACAATTGGACATACTTATTCTGGGCAGGTAGAGACTGTTGGGGACCCTAAGGCATCTGGGATGCCCCAAGCTGAACCTTAAGGCTGCTGGCCAAGGGGCAGTGGAGACCCACAGAGGTGGAGATAGATCCAAATTCTGCTGCTAATAGTTGTGTGTCCCTGGGCAAGTTGCCTAACATCTCTGAGCTTTATCTTCATCTGTAAAACTGGAGTAAGGTACCCACCTTACTGGGCTGTCACTGGATCCACATAGGGAAAGGGCCTGCGTCACGGTTCTGGGAACTGCCTGCCACACTCAGTAATGGCTTTGTTAAATGAATGAGTGGCCCACGGAAGGGCTTGGTTAGTATCAGGGTCCATGATGCCACTGAAGCCAGACACTGATATTTCTGGAAGCACTAAGAAAGAAAATGTATGAAGACATTGCCAATAGAGTCATGACCCAATGCTTTTATGTCGCCAGAATTTTTATGTTATACTTACTCAAAGATCTCTTTTGGGCCTATTCACACCTTGAACCCCCCACACACACCAGATCTCTAGTGAGTTTACATAAAAAGGAAACTATTAGGGAAATCAATGGCTTGAGGTGTTCCTAAAACTCCTCTGAGGTCAGAGCTGTCTCTGAATTCGTGCCATCCTGCAGCCAAAATCCTGAGCCCCTTGGCCTCTGCCTGGAGGGTGATCTGCTCCCCGCCCCTCCCTGCACCTCAAGGAAGGTCTCCCCTCCAGCTGGCTTCCTGGTTCTCTCCATCGAGGGGGGGAGGAGTCAGTGCACCTGCTGCAGAGACAGTCACACCCTGCAGACACAGGGCTCACAGTGCCCTGGATACCTCCCCCCAAACTGTCGTATGAACTCAGATTTCAGAAAAGGGAAGATGTTGTCTTAAAGTTGATGAGATTCAGTAATATGGTATAAGAACTAGGAAGGGGACTTTTTTTTTTTAAGATTTTATTTATTTGAGAGAGAGAGAATGAGAGATAGCACGAGAGGGAAGAGGGTCAGAGGGAGAAGCAGACTCCCCGCTGAACAGGGAGCCCGATGCGGGACTCGACCCCCAGGACTCCAGGATGATGACCTGAGCCAAAGGCAGTCGCCCAACCGAGTCACCCAGGTGCCCATGAAGGGGACTTTTTAAGTCCTAGAAGGGAGAGGCGCCTGAAAAGCTAGGTCAGGGGTGCCTCACTGGGCCTTACTGCAGACAGGAGTAGGACCTGCCTTTCACTGTACCCTGTGTCCAGGGCCCAGGGACCCGGCCAGCAGAGCTAGGCTGACTGCATGCACGGCCCTGTCTCTTTGGCCACCTTTCTGCCCCACTCACTGAGGGACTAAGGCTCCCCCACTCCCTAAAGTGGGGAGGCGGTGTTTGAGAGGTTTTTTCCTTCCAACTTATGGGTTCCCACCAGTGGCCTCCAGGGGAACTCCGAACAGGGAAAGGGTTAAGCCAGAGTAAACTTTATATTTTACAAAGTGGCGTGGCGTGGGGAGCCCCCGCTCCCAGCTGCACCTGTCACGTCCTGGCGGTGCCGGCTCTGGGAGGAACCTGGGGACGGGCTGCGGGCCTCAGGCCCCCCTCGATCGGACCACGCTCTTCCCAAACGCTCCGGTGTGCCTCCCGAGCTGGGGTCCCGCTTCCACCGACGAGAACGACTTGTTCAGTGTCGGGGTCACAGTCTCCCTCCCCGGCTCTGCCCTGCAGCCAACCCTCCCCCAAAGTCTCCCCTACTGCCCAGCCCCGCCAACTCCCCTCCCCTCCTCCCCGGAAGCACGGAAAGCGCAGATTTGGCGGCTGTAGCCCGACGCGGCTACCCGGCTAACCCGGCGCTGCTCAGCCCTCGGGCGGGCCCGGACCTTCCAGCCGGGAGGGTCCCTGCCGGCGCGGGAGCTCCCCCAGCCCCCACCCCAGCGCCGCGGCTCTCGCGAGACGCCCGAGCCCGCTCCCTCCCCCGGCCGCCGGCCCTGCGCTCCCGGGGCGCAGCCGCGACCTCGTTCGCCCCCGCAGTCCGGGGGTTGTGTTTCCCAGGACCTTGGGGCGGAGAAGACGTTCATGTGGCCGGGGAGCGGGGAGGGGGCGAGGGGACCGTCCCTCCCCGCCGCCGGGCCTGCGGTGAGGGGCGCGCGTACTGCTGGGCCGGGAGGGGCCTCTGCGCGGGGTGGCTTCCCGCGGACGCACCGCGTCACCTCCGTGGGGAGGATGAGGCCCTTCTCCCGGAGTCGCGGCTCGGGCCGCGGGCTGCGAGCCAAGTCTGGGGCGCCGTGGGCACGTCGTGGCTTCTCCGGGAAGGGCTGAGCTCCCTCCCGGGCTTCCCGAGCAAGGAGCCCCGAGCTGCCCGGCCGGCCGCCCCTTCCCCTGCCCACCGAGGGGCACAGCGGCGCAGGCAGTGCCGGGAACCCCTCCCACCGCCGCCCGCACTGGGGGCCCAGCTCCCCCTCTGACGGGCTGGTGACCTCTCGCCAGCAGGGCCTGCTCAGGCTCCCCATCTGCGTCTGGAGGGTCTGCCGTCGCTGGAATATTGGGGCCCCTGTGCTCTGGCTCCCAATTCGCCGGACGGCCCCCTCCCCCCAAGCCCTCGTCCCTCGAGGCCCTTCCGTGCAGTCCAATGAGGGGGCTGCCTTGAGGAAACGCCGCAGAACCGCAGGGCAGTCTGCCTAAGGTCGCATTCCTCAGAGTGAGTCCAACCTGGGGCCCCAGAACCGACTTGGAGGAGTGGGTCAGAACCCCTCCTTCTCTTCTCTTGGAGCCTCTTTCCTTCTACAGCTCCCCGCGGCTGACAGAGGCTGTAGCTGTTATCTGCACCCAGGGCCCAATCGGGACAAAACTTGTGGGACCTTCTCTTTCCTCCCCTCTGAAGTGGAGAGATGGACACACAGCCGCAACCCTCGCTGGGCTGCTCTGGGCTTGGGGCAGGAAGGTCACCGCCCCCCGCCACGTGTAGCCACCTGGGGGTAACCCTCAGGGCCTGAAGGGATCAGGGGCGCAGCCTACACAGAAGATCCGATCCCTCCGGCGCGCCTGGGCGGCCCAGGGTTTCTCCTCGGGACGCTGGCCAGCGAGTAGGCTGGAAGCTGTTTGCAAGGTGGAGCTGACAGCCTTTGAGCTGGTTTCCCTGAGACCTGGCAGGGCTGGGGCACGTGGAGAATTGTCTGCAGCCCTCAGAAAGAACCCACTCTCTCACTCCTCCCGGCCTTGACCATACGCCCTTGTCTGCAGCCCTCAGAAAGAACCCACTCTCTCACTCCTCCCGGCCTTGACCATACGCCCGCGGTGCTCCGGGACTGGAAAGCCAGGCGATGATTTCCCCAAGGAACGCTCAAGCTGCAATTTGAAGGAAGCCGTCGTCACCACAGGTGGAGGCCATAACTGTCATTTTCACATTTGGAGATGCAAAACCTGAATCTCTGTCCCCCGTATTTGTGTCTGGAGGACTTGGTCCCGCTTGAAATTCTGCAGGGCCAATATAGGGCCTCTCCCTGAGCTTTAACCAGCAAAGTGGCCATCTCTCCATCCCCATGCCCTGCTCTTCATCCTCATAGGAAGTGCAAGGACTGGAACCCACAGGCCTGCCCAGTCCAACCTAGAGGGTCAAAAGTCAGCCGAAGCCTTCCCGTCTGTGAGGAGAGGGCACCGCGGGCACATGCCACCAAGCTGCACCCCTGGAAAGGGCACCCTGTGAGAACTGGGGAGGCTCTCGGTCCTCTGCCTAGGTCAGGTGCCCTTGCTGCTGGAGTCGGACCTCGGGGCTAGGCGCCGCCGCTGCGCATGTACTGCATAAAACGTTAAGACCTGGCGCAGGCACTGTTGAGGCCGGGTGGCGCGCCTCTATGTGGACCTCGGAGCCGGGGATCCCCGTCTGCCTCACGAGAGCGGACCGCGACCATCTCGAGGACCTCACAGGCGGTTCTTCAAGTCCCTGGAGACCGAACCAACAACCGGAGGCGGCTCTCAGCCCCGGGACACTTCCGGAGCCAGCTCCACGGCGGCCTGGGGCTCCTACTCCTCTGCGAGACCCCTGTGTAGCCCGGCTGCTACCGCGGGAGCCCTGGCCTGGGAAGAAAGGGGAGGAGGCTCGCCTTGGACCCTCACACCGAGAGGAAGCGATTGCTGGGATCCTGCAGCAGCTGGGCCGCCTGCGCTGCCAGTCCGAGCCCGTGGGGGCAGGTCACAGTTCGCTCCCGCAAAGCACGGGGAGAGGATGTTTCAGAAGCCAGTGCGAGTGTCCCTCTTACGCCGCCGCTACCCCCCTCCTCCAGCCCCGCAGATTCAGAAACCCCTTCATCAAGCCCCGCTGTGTCATAAAATATTTTATTGGAAAAAAATCACTGTCTTCGCAAGAGAGGGGTAGGAGCCCCAGCGCCGTGGGGGACCCGGCCTCAGGATAGAGCCGCCGGGCTGTCGGGGCGCGCTATCGGGCCATAGTGGCCTGAGCCGGGCGGCGGGGTCCCCGACGGGCGGAAGCGAGTGTGTGCCGGCGGCGTCAGGCCGCGGAGGGCCGGCTGAGGCGGGTGGGAGTGCGGGAGAGGAGCAGGGCGTGAATGCGCGCGGAGCTCCAGGCCCAGGCGTCCGTCCGCCGTGCCGGACGCGAGTCCCCAGGCCAGGGCTGGGAGTGCACTGGGGCCGGGCTTCGCTGCAGGGTCTGTGTCCTTTCTCGCTTGGCCCCTAACTGTCCGCATTCAAGGTAATAATAAAACGTTTAGAAAGCAAATCGCGTGGCCGCGGAAGGGCCGGCTCGCGGCTTCCAGCGGGCGGAGGGGGCCTCGGTCGACGCTTTGGGCGCTCAGTCCTCGCGGCTCCTGTCGATGGTCTCGCCTGGCGCCTCCGCCGGCTTCTCTGCCTCCTTGGCGCGCTCCTGCTCCGTGAGCTGTTCGCTCGTGGGAATGGAGTTCTTCTTGGGCCGCCCCTTGGGCTTGGTGGGAGACTCCAGGCCGCCGCCCTGCAGCACCTGCGCGTAGGATGGCCGCACGGCGGTGAGCTGGGACCGGGGAGCGGGACCCCGCGCCCTGTGCCCAGGCAGGGCCTGCCCGGCACAACGAGGCCGTCCGAGGCCGCGCCTAGCCCGGGGAAATGGCGGCCATCTGAGCGCTGCTGGGGAAAGCAACCGAAGGGTCGGGCCTAGGGATTCAAAGCTGCCGGAAGGCCTGAGGGTGCAGCGGAGCACGAAGGAAATGTGGGCTGTGCTAGGGCACCCAGAGGGAGGGAGAGAACAGAGACGGTCCCTGCGGGCACCACGCACGGAGGGAACTGGAAGGATTGGGTAGAAGTCTCCGCGGTGGGGGTGGGGGTGGGAGCTCCTGGAGGGCACAGGGGCCTGGTGGTGGTGATGGTGGTGGTGGTGGTGGTGGTGGTGGTGGTGGTGGTGGAGAGCTCCTGGAGGGCACAAGGGCCTGGTGGTGACCGGGGTGCAAAACGTCACAAGCACACTCACTATTTTCTTCCACTTCATCCTCCGATTCTGGTACCACGTCTTCACCTGCAACTGGCTCAGGCCCAGGGATTCAGCGAGATCTATTCTGGAAAGATCATGGTGCACCTTCAGCAGGGCTAGCAGACCCCTCCCACCACCCGCTGGGCTCAGCCTGGCCCCATGGCTACCTGTCCGGCGTGGAGAGGTACTTCTGCTTCTCAAAGCGTTTCTCTAGGCCCATCAGCTGCAGCTCAGTGAACACCGTGCGGCTCCGACGCCCCTTCTTGGCCTTGGTGCCCGGATCCCCGGTGCCCGGTGTCTCCAACTTCCCGCGGAGCTGCAGCTCAAGAGGCAGGTGCGGTGTGCCAGGGGCGCCGGGCAGTCCAGGCCCTGCTGCCAGTAACGCCGAGCCTAGCCCGGAGCAGCCCAGCGGTGCAAGAGGGAACTTAAACACCGCAGCCTGCTCAGCTTTCAACACAGCTGCAAGAAGAGAGAGTGGGGAGCCGGTGAGCTTGGGCCGTGCTCCTCCTCCTGGAGAACCCCTACACTGTGCGCCGTGGGAGTGCTCGCCACACTTGGCCAGTGCCACCCAGCACAAAACCTTCCTGTCTGGCCACAAAGGTCAAGATTTGGGCCGCTTGCCTAGGGTGACCCTCTTCAAAGCCAGTGTCACTGAAGTCTGGGAGGGGGGACCTCCCCCACCCGGGCCTCTGCCTGGTGTCCCCCAGGCCCCAGCAGCCTCCGGGATTCTCAATGAATAAAGTCGGGGCTCTGAGAAGCACAGTGTGTCTTTCACAGAAAAGGGAAAGCAAGAAGAAATGGCAGTGAGTCAGGAAGGTGAGCGTTTGCCCCAACCAAGTTGGCATCACTGTGTCCCGAAACCAGAACATTAACCGCGTGAGTGCGTCTGCTCCTCTGTGCCCACGCCACAGCCACACGGTGGGCAGATGGGGGTCACTTGCGGGGGTGAGGTTGGGCGCTCCGCAAAGACTCCAAGCATCTCCCCGCGTCGGGAAATTGTCCTTCCTGTTTTCTCTGTTGAGACTCTTCCCTCGAAGACGTTTCCATTTTTCATTAGTCCTATGACGATGATTTTTTCCCCCCGCTTCAAACGAATTGTTAACGACAGTGCAAAGAGCTGCGGAGAGGCTGCATCAGAGCTGCATGAAAACGAACAAACTGGCCCTGCGGTCCTCCGCGCTGGCGGGGCCTGGGCCTGAGGGTCTTGGGTGCAGAGCACGGCGGGGCTCCTGCTGGGATGTAGGGGGCCTCCCTTCCCCCGCAGGCATCTCACTGGGGCGGCAGATGCTCGCCCACAGGAGTCGGCCAGGGCTGGGCAAGGTGCGGGCAAATGTGAGGAGGGGATGAGCGATCCTTGGGGGAAGGTGGGACAGGGAGGGCAGACAGACCCCATCGAAAAGTCCACCGATGGGGGGGAGAGAGACCGGGAAAGGCCAGAAGAAGAGGGGGTACCGAGAAGAGAACCAGCAGGAAAAGGCATGATCAGCCAAGGAAGGAAGAGAACCGATGGCGGCAGAAGAAGCCAGAACAGGCAGCTCAAGATCCCAGGAGGCCCAGCCGACCTGGAGGGAAAGGGCCAGGCGGCAGCGGCTCACAGCCAGGCCTCTTGTCCCCAGGTGAGGCCCACGGGCATCGCGCTGCGGCAGAGGCCGTTGCTCCCCCACCTGAGTCCCCGGAACCAGCGTTAGCCCCCAGCACAGTCCTTGGAGACATGGGCTTCTGCCCCAAAGGTCCGCCTTCCCCGCCACGGGCAGCCGCGGCCACTCCCGACCAGCCCTCCGCGGCTTAGGCCCAGGAGCCCGAGGCCCGAGGGCGCTCTGACCCGCAGTCTGACATTCGCAGTCTGGTCCTGCGCAAGCTCTGGGGGTGCGGGCTCGGGGCCCCGACCGGAGGCTGCAGGTCGGCGGTGAAGGAGAGAGCGGACGCCCCCCCAGCCGGCCTGGCTTGCCGGCACCAGGCCTGCTTTCTGCGCGGCCCGGCGCCTGCCCCTTGCTTCCCTGGCTGGAGCGCGCCCTGGGAGCGGCCGGGGCCTGTGCACCCAGAGCTGCGTCCTCGAGGCAGAGCGGCTCGCTCCCCACAACGCCCGGCCCCGCACGTACCCAGGTGGCTGTGGAAGGGCCGCGCGGCCAGCAGCGCCTGCACGCCGAACTTGAGCAGCTCGCCCGCCGCGGCAGCAGCGGCGGCGGCGGGCGCGGCGCCCTTGGGCCCCGGCGGCTCGGTGAGGATCTCTTCGATCATGAAGCTGCGGTAGCGATGCGGCGGGTGGTCGGCGCAGCCCTCGGGCGGCCCGAAGCGCGCGGCGCCGGGGTCCCCAGGCCGCTGCATCGCGGCGCCCGCGGCTCGGTGGCGGTGGCGGCTCGGGCGCGGGGCCCGCGCGGGGCTCTAGGCCGGCCCGCAGCTCGGGGCGGTGCGCGGGCACCGGCTCATGCCCCCTCCCCCCGCCGGCCGGCCGGGCGGAGGCGCAAGGCGCGGGCGGGGCGCGCGGGGCTCGGCCGGTCGGACCCGGGACTGCGCCCCCGCCCCGCGCCGCTGCGCCTCTAGCCCGGCCGGTCCCGCGTCACCGCCCCGCCCCGCCCCGCCCGGCCGCCCCGCCCCGCGCCGCCGCCCCCACCCCCCAGGCCGAGCCCGAGGGAGGCCGGAGAGGGGAAGGAGGCGGGAGGGAGGGGGCCGCGAGAGGGGCGGGCCGACCGAGACCGAGGGGACCCAGCGGAGCGCACGCCCAGGAAGGAGAGAGCGGGAGAGCTCGGAGACCAGACCCCCAGAGATGGGAGCGGAGGGTTCGAGAGAGAGGTGAGAGAGGCGCGAAACAGCGAGGCCACACAAGACGCGAGACAGTGATGAGAGGGTGCCACAGACGCCGAGGCGTGAGCACAGAGAGGCCGACGGAAGCGCGGAAGCCAGCCGGCCTCGACGTGCCGGAGGGCACAGAGGCAGGCAGGGCTGGGCAAGGGGCAGTAAAGAAAGACCGGGGACAGCTAGGAAGGCAGCGGCCCGGCCAGAGGTTAGGGAGCCCTGGAGAGGTCGGGGGAGGAGAGGCAGAGGCCGCGCAGCTTGGCTGGGAGGGTAGCCACGCGCAGCCTCCTGGCCCGCGCTCAGAGTCACCCGCCAGGGTGGGGTGCAGCAGCAGGCAGGGGTGCAACTCTCAGAGCAGCGGCCGCACCTGCGCACTCCCGCCTCAGTTTACCAGACATGGCCTCATCTGTCCTGAGCTGCCCTGAGAGGTTCTCCAGCCGGGATTTGCTTATATTGCCAAGAGATGCAGGGGGCACATCCTCCTTGGAGATCCCCCTCCTGTGGGGTGGGTTCTGTCGCCCTACTTAGAGGAAGAGATGGATGCCCAGGAAGGAAATGCGGCAGCTCCACCTTTTCCCAGCTTTAGAGTAAGAGCACAGGGCTGAGCTGGATGAGGGGCCACAGGGTGCACTGGGAGTCTGGAGACAAACTCTGGCGTCGCCCTACTGGTCTCTGAGACTTAGAGTCCCCCCATATGATTGAGGGAGGTCCGGCCTTCCCTGGCTCCCCTTCGTCACTGCAGAAATATAAACCCAGGCTGTGGGGTGAACAATCTCCCCAGCTCTCTGCTGAGTCTCTCTCTCCTTGGCTCTGCTACTCCTGGCAAGCCACTGCCCCTTCTGGGCCTCAGCCTCCTGACCTGTCCTGAGGAGCTGCTGCTGTAGGGCTCCAGGGAGGCTCTGATGACTGCATAGGGGGTCCTGCACCCCTGTGCCCCACAGGTCTGCTGGGGAGGAGTCCACAGTTTGTCTGGACAAGGAGGGTGGGTTGTCAGTGGGGTGGATGGGTGTCTCTGGGAGGCTGGGGAGAATGCCAGCCCTCCTCTCCCATCCCATTGCCGAGGTCCTGGACCACTTCTCCCACTATGTGAACTCTGACGTTCTCTGTGTTTGCTTCTGGGAAATAGGGCCTACCATACCCATGGCCCTACTCTCTGAAAGTCGATGCAATTTCTCTAGCTCCAGCTGCTGAAAATGAGATCCCGAGGCCAGTTCCAAGCCCTGGCACCTGCCCTAGACCCTTCATGAAGTAGGAGATGGCCAAGACTCTTTGTCCATAGGGACAAAGAGAATGTCTTACGAGAGGCTCTAAGATCCCAGCTGCCTCCCCCCACAGTGGCTGAGTGACTTTTGCTAGGGCTGCCCCTTCCTGAACATAACAGCCATCATCAGGTCTGAAAGGTGGCCTCCAGGTGCTCCACGTGTGGGTGGTCCTGTGAGTCACATGGTGGTTGTTTGGAAGGGGACAGTGTGGGACCCACTGAGAATGACAGTATCCCACACGAGCAGGCCTCCCTCCCAGTGAGAGGTGGTACGATGGTGGGTGGGGCCACGCTGCCACCAGTGCAGCAGAGAAAAGCCAGTGTCTCGTGCAGCGCTGGGCAGCCCTGGACTGCACTGGCCCAGAGGCCGAGGGGGCAGGGCTGGTTTGCTGTTGCTCCCTGCATATATCAGCATCACACCCTTCCCCTCTCAGCTCCCCCCACCCCTGTAGGGCCCGCTGGCCCCTGCCGCCTCCCCCTCCAGCCCCTTCTCCCCCTCCCCCTCCTCCTCCATCTCCTCCTCCTCCCTGCTTCAGGGTCTTTCCAAGGGCATAGCCTGGAGGTGTTTTCGTTGGAGGGTTAGGCCCAGCCACCCCCATTCCATCCCTTCACTCCTATTTGGGCCCCTGATGGAAGCTGCCCAGCTTTGAACATCTCTTCCCCATTCAATTGCTATTGGGGGGGGCGGGGTCTCAGGTTCTTTAGATGAAGACCCGTTGGGAGTCATATTGGGTATTGAGCAGCCCTCACCAAACCCATGTGGCCCCCAGTTGGCCTCCTAGGTCAGGCTTTGGGGAAAGAAGGTCATTTTCAGGGTAAGACCTCATCTCTAGATTTGGGGGAGTCAGAAGACCAGCGCAGCCCAGCCCGCACCTCATTTCACGGGTGCCAAGGCCCAGAGAGCCTCCCCCAGCTCTTTGGACACCCGCCAGGACTCTTTCTCAATGGCCCAGCGAGGTCTGCGGCGCGGGGAATGAGGCCCCGGGGCTCTATGGAGAATGCCCTTCGGGAAGCAGTCGGAGGCCTCGGCCGGCGCAAAGTACTGAGGGAGCCCGGCCCGTCACCCCCCTCAGACCACCCCCAGGCGGGAAGACCTCTGACCTCCCTCCGCCGGACGAGGTCTCCCCGCGCGGCACGATCCCAAAGCAGACCCGAAGATAAACCCCTTTTAGGCGAAAAAAATGCGCGCGCACAGCGGCTGGGCCTCCTCTGCTCGGGAACTGCGGCGTTGTTAGCCGGCAAAGGGTTCCCAGCGGGTCCCTCCTCCCGGTCCGAGCCTCGCAGCCCCCACCCCAGGGGCGCAGCAGCCAGGCCAACGCCTGGGACCCGGCTGGGGCCTCCAGCCGCCGCCGCCGCCGCGAAAATCCCGGAAACCGTCCGCTCGCGGCGGGCGCAGTGGAAAAGGTGACCTCAGCGCCCGAGGCCAGCCACCCTCTCCCGGCGGCGGGCGGCGAGGGGCTTCGGGTGGCAGGGGGGGTCCCGGCGCCGCCCCGACGCCGGCTGGGCCCCTTTCCCCCACTGCTCTGCCCTTCCGGACCCCACAGCCGCGCTGCAGGGGAGACGCGGGGAAGGGGGTTACCTCCCTCCCTAACCAATCCCCTTAGCCCGGGTGCGCAGGTTCCAGACTCTCCCCCTCCGCCAGCCAAGCCGCCTCCGCCCCCTGAGGCTCCCGGTGGGATTCTGGAGTCGTTCGCCTTAGGGGTCCTAACTGCAGCCGGGGAAGCTGAGACTCGAGTGCGCAGGCCTGGGCGAGATCGGCGGCCCGCGGTGGTGTTTCTGAACCGCCTGGAGGGTCCTGGGACCAACTCCCCTCCGGCCCCCACCCGACCCCCGCCCGTGTCCTGGCGTCTCCTCTCCCACTGGCCGCGGGTTTGGATCTTATGCGGCAAAACGGCGTGGGGCGGGAATGGAGGGTAGGTTGCTTCTGGACCAGTCGGCTCACCTCCGAGGGCAATCGCCCAGCAGCTGCCTACGGGGAGTCCCACACTTCCTCCCGGTCCACAGAGCGGGAAACCGAGCCCCGACGGGCCTGCGGGCCCCGGGGGCCCCCTGCAGCCCCGCGCCCGGCGCCCCGCTCAGGCCTCCTTCCCGAGCACGCGCAGCGCAGCTTCGGCGCCCCGCACGCGGGGCATCCTCCTCTCCCCCCTTTCCTCCGGGAAGCCTTCAGTTCTGATGGCCCCCGGCGCGGGGCCCGCAGGCGGTGGCGGCGCCCGCGTCCGCTCGATCTCAGATTGGCAGCGCCGGGAACGCGCCGTCCGGCTTCGGCCTGCGCTCTACTCTTGCGCCTAGTGCGTGGATTCGAGACTGGCGACCTCTGTCCTGCCTTCTAAGCGGAAAATCTCGGGGTCCTCACGCTCGCAGGTCACATCTCCCAGGGACCGCCGAGTTACTATCTCGTTGGAGAAGCTGGTCTCTGTGGCGCCTTCCTTTACGAAAATTTCGATGTCAAGTGTGGACTTTTCGTTTCGGATCATTTCAAAGCCCTGTGAGCTCGGGGCTCAAATCGGGTTTTGAGACAGCGACTTAAGACACATCCCTCCCACTTCCCTTCAAATTATCCCTTTTCGGGTATTTTACAAACTTGCTCCTTTGGAATGTGTTACTTTATTTTTGTTTTGTGGTTATTTTTCTTAAAACGTGTGGTTTTCTTTAGAAGTGTGAATTTTAAAAGATTATAGGCAGGTAATAATTTTAAAAGATTATAGGCAGGTAATAACGGGCCTGACCCAGCGAAGACCCACGGCGACCTTGCTGGACAAGCACAGACACCACCAGCTGCCTCCGCTTCATGCCCAGCCTCTCCGCCGGGCTCGGGCGGCTCCCACAGGAACCTTGGATCCCAGTCCAGCTGCGTGGATCAGCGCCCGAGTCCACACCCAGGGCCCGGAAGCAGTAGCCGCTGGGGCCTCGGTTCGGTGGGGCCCAGATGCGGACGCCCAGCTGCTGGGCACCCGCGGCGAGGCCGGATGTGGGCAGTCTGGGGGGACTCGAGATGTGCCCTGCGCTCTGGGCGCTTCTCACCCGAGTGAAGGTGCCGGGCCCCGCGGAGACTGGGTCTGACTCTTGCTGGGGGCGCGTCAGGGACCACGTTCGGACTCGGAGCTGCTCGGCCTTCGGGGAGAGCGAGGGTCAGTGCAGGCCGGCCGCAGGGCCCTTGTGGCTTCATCCCGGCAGGTGCCAGGTCGCCCACTCACCAGGGTCACTCGTCTCGGAGTCAGCAGATAAGGAGAGGCCCCGGGGCAGAGGCCGGATCCCTCCCGCGCCCCCGGCCAGGGCTCCTTTCTTTCGTTTTCTTTGTCCTTCCTTCTTTGCTTTCCCGCTTCTCTTCCCTCCCTCCATTCAGTTCCCCTCTTTCTTTCTTCTTTTACTTTCAGCTCATCCTTCTCCACCTCGCCCACCTTCTGCTCTTGCCGGCGGGCTGGTGCTTCCTTCTGCCCCTCTGCTCCCCTGGCCCTTCTTTCGCTGGTTTCTTTT